TTGCGAACGGAGCCTAAATTGTTCGAACGTACTGGCGGGACGGGATTCCCTGTTGCCAAAAACTAACTATCCAAAGAGGGATCATTACAGGTAACCTCCACATCAATCACCATATCTGGAGAACACTAACTTCTCTAACTCAAGGTTACAGCCTCTACATTTTCCAAGTACTTCTTGACACTCTCCGGATAGTCTCTATCACCCTCCATAAACATAGAAACCTTCACTGCAGCTGTCATTAGAAATATCAAGAGGTTTAACAAAAAGCTAAGTTTCTAACCACAAGTGGAAAGGAAAACAATTGCCTTAAGAAATCTCCATCTGACTAACAACTTATGATAGAGAGCTTCAACTAACAGTCACACCTTGAGAGAGAAACAACCTGTATCATAATATAGTAATTACGACAATCCATTTCAGAGTACCAAATGAGAAATAAAAATCTGCGGAATGGCGTATCTGCTTCACAGGATGAAAACCTTCTAATCACCAACTATTGCTAATGAAACCTTTAAACTGTAAGAAAATGCCTTACAATTGCAATCACCTTCAATCTCCAAGCTAGCTATCAACCTCTTTGCACAAGACAAATATCAAGAAAAGACAACTCCAGAGAAACAATCCATCTTATCCTGGTTGTCTGACTATCAAGTTACAAGACACAAATTCAAACTGTTTTCTCACTTTGTTCCTCCGTTAAAAATATGGTGGGGGTGGTGGTGGTGGTAAAAAAAAGGAAAAAAGCAAAAGAAAGAAAAAATAGGAGAAGAATACCGCAGCTATATAGACTAAACTTCCACTCCCCTGTCCACCAAGCCTAGCAACCCCTCTCCTATTGAAAACATGACCTATTCAACTTCCAGTAAATACAAACAATGTATCATTTCCCCTTCTGAGTAAAGAGCTAACTAAAATTGTTGTGATGCTAAGCTAAAGGTCTGCGAAACTAGATAAAAATATGGTAAAAAAGCAAAATCAAATTTCATCCGTAACAGTACTGTACTCGAGTACTATGGAGTACAGTACAAGCCCGGCAGTTAGATATATCCGTCACGTGAAACCAGAGAATAAGAATTTGGTGAACCTTCTTGGAAGCAGGGTGCCTGGACAACGCACGTGATGGATATATTTATCGGCCTCTCTTGTACCGTATTGCCGTGTAGAACCAGACGCTGAAAACGGGCCCTTTTGTTTACCATTTTTTCGCCAGTGATAGATACAAAAAGTAAATCAGTACATTGGGATAAATTTTTATGTGGGTTCACTTTTTTAGAATGCCGCTGTTGGGGCCGGTTTGTCGGATTTGGTCTGGACTCGAAGAGGGGAGAGACTTGGCGGCAAGTGGGGTGTGCATGCCCCAAATTATGTCAGCACTTGGCTCGCCGAAATATGGCGCACCACGATTCCTCCCCTACAGAAGTAGGTGAAGGTTTAATACCGGTAATAATAAGCGACGAACCTAGATACTATATCAGATACCCACTGATGATTTAATCCCCATATCACGGATCCTATCTTCCCACTTTTGATACCGGTATTTGCGGTGTGGATAGCGCTAGGGAACGCGTACTGTACAATCCGCCCCACCTTCCGTCATTTACCCAACCACAGCTGCACTTTCCACCCTCGATTCCAAACCCAAATGGCACCCTCAGGAATCTGCATATCCTGCCACGAGGCGCTCACAATCCCAGACGAAGACCACCCTCTGGAACCCGGCCTCGTCGGCGACGTAGAATTACGCTGCGGGCATCATTATCACTGGTATCACCTATCCCGCCCGCTCGGGTTCCCTCTTATCAAAAGTAGGAAGGTGATTAACGACGATACAACAGGTCCTGCTTCGCAGAGGAATACTCCGCCGATGGCGCCACCCCCGCGACCAAAGCGCAGTGCCCAACTTGCACGCATGACATAACCACGAATGGAAAACTCCTAGTCACGCTACGGAACGAAGGTGGCGAGCAGCCAGACACCGATATCGGAACGCTGCTCGAGGAAGAAGAGTTTTATGGTCGGAATCCGGAGATGAAGGAGGTTAGGGCTTTTCTCGAGTTTTGCGCTGAAGGTGCCTCCCACAACATGCCTGCAGTTTTTTGTTTTGTTTCTATCCTGGCTAATGAAGATAGGTGACGAGGGTGAGGTTCGGGAAATGCTCGCGGCGACGCCAGAACTTGTTAGTCGACAGGATCATGAAACGGGGCAGACGGGGCTGCACGTTGCAGTTATGAATGGGCGGGAGGAGGTTATCAGGGTTTTGTTCAAGCACAACGTTGATCGGCTTGTTACGGATGCGGCTGGGAAGACGGCGTACCAGCTTGCGGTCGATATGGGGGCTACAAGGGAGCAGTTGAGGATGCTTTGTGACCGGTGATTTAGGGGGGGGGTATGTATATTATGGGAATTGAGTTTGGGTATGATATGGTGGTTGGTGGGGTTGTTTGGCGCGGGGGCGGTGATATTGCTTACTACAGGACTACGGTACTTGTGTCGAGGGTTTCCCCCTAACCTTGGCTGCTCAAGGCTAGAGAAATCGACAAACTGTGATAATTATTATGATACTATCTGCTACCCTTATTCCATGTGACCAGCTCTAGCTTTTCGAGTCCTGACACTTCAACCATTTCCTAAGAACAAATCTGGATGGGAACGGGCAAATTCTTGTCGATATCGAGTGATTTCGTATGAACACAACTCAGATTCAAGGAATAAAGGTCAAGGGAGTGGTAAGTTGTGAAAGGAATGAACCCGAGATATCCTTTCATTCGACTCCACCGGAAAGGCATTTATCAGAATGGTCGATATTCCGAGATCGAGACTGCGGGTGGAGCACACTGCCTTGGTTTCGCTCTTTGCGACGGGAGAGTACCGTACTCGTAGACTAGATCAAGGGTTCTGTAGCGTTATGGCAAGGGTTAGGGTTTGAGAAGAAAGTTTCCAGAATCCGCCAACTGGCCTTTGCCCCCGAGTTGGCCACCGGAATTATAAATAAGTTCCAAACTTGCTTAGAACTCGCGTAGATAGAGCACTCATTGGTAATGCCTACAATTCAAATTTTCATTAAAATGAGAAAAGGGCGGGAAAATTCAATTATATGGAGAACGAATACATTTCAAAGGTCCTGGAGTGCCCTCTTAGTTTTCTGATCCTTGTCGTCTTCCATATTTGTCGCTTCTTGCCGGGATTCGGGTTCAAGCGAGTTTCGCGGATCCTGACCCCCAAAGTAGCTTTCCGCTTTCCTTCCCTCCCTCCCTTCAAAAAGCCCCAAACTGTCGACGTTTCTGAACAAACAACTTGCAATATGGGAACGAATCGAACGATAACACCGGTGCCGCCGGAGAATCCTGTAGGCGACGCTGGGCCGCCTGAATCGCTGGAATCGGCTGCGGTTTCGAGCTCCGGCGAAGATGCGATCGCTCCAACGGGAGTCGGCGCTGCAGAGATCGCCGACCAAGTTATCACCTTTCTGTCCACTGCAACCCCGGAGCTACTATGCGTAATGGTATTCGGGATCGCGCTCTTGCTCTATATGGTCCTTGGGACTCTTGGGTTAATGCTTGTCGGCGTCGTGCTGGGCGTTGTTCTACACGCGAGTTTGGAGAACTTACGGTCACCGGGGCCAAGGGGTGGGAGCAGGACAGCAACATTGATGACGGATTGGCTGGAAAAGAAACTGGCGGAGAGCGATGCACTTAAGGAGAGAGATCCCGGGGATGAGAAGGCGATTGTGAGGGTGCGCTTATTCTGCTCCGCTACCCTTCCTTCTTCGGGGGTGACGAGAGAAACTGACGGTAGACTAGAAGAGGAGAGTTTCCAGATCACCGAAGAATGTGGACTTTTCATCCTTATCCCCCGAGACCGCGGCTGCTTTCGAAGAGCTTACGGAGGCTGTTATTAGGGACTATGTTCGGTATACCTCTATCATCCGGGGTCGGTTTAGGAGGATTGGGGCTGATATTCCAACAGGTACTGGTACACGCCGATTCTACCAAATGATGAGAAATTCCCGAGTTCCTGTCGGCAGTTGCTTACCCAGACCCTACTTAATATGCACGGACACATCTCCAGCAAGCGGCCTACAGATACCTTTCTGCTTTTCTTGGTATCGACTTCCAATATTTTCATCGTGTTCTTTCGCGAACTGGCTCAGACAGCGCAGACCTCGATTGGAACCTACGTCGAAGAATACCCTTCCTCAGCACTGGCGCAACTAGTAGACCGGGAGAGCCAGAAGAGAAAGCTGCGGATGGCGGCAGAAGATATTCTCCACACATTTCTTCCTGCGGAAGCTGTCAATTGCACTTCCGTACGGACTTTCTTAACGGAGATATTGGCTAGTGCGGTATTAGAGAAGACGGTAGAAAAGTGCTCAAGAGCTGACTTTATTAATGATTGGATAATTTATTTGTTGGAGGCAGAGACACAGCCGGAGATATTGCAGAAGATAGATATTGGTGCGATTGAGGGCTCGGATGAGGGTGCAGCTGTAACCGAACAGCTCGCGAAACAGAAGCGGCTGAGCCGAGCGGAGGAGGAAATGGAGAAAGCAATGAAGGAGGCTCAAGAATTATCAAAGATGATCGCAGAGAATGAAGCGAAAGCAGTGCGGAACTCCATGGAGGTTGGAGCGTCGCCTGCAACTACAGCGAATGGGGTATTAAAAGATGGTGTAACGGAGAGCCCTGTTAGGATGTCGTTCGATAGTAAGGGCGTTTCATCGTCTTCGCTACCTCCCGAAATTCCAGAAGAGCCCAGTACGGAAGAAGAGGAAAAGCCACCGACACCTCCGCCACGATCGGGAGCATTCACTTCTTTCGATCAACTCGTCGTACCGGCCGCGGAACCCCAGGAAATCTTTTTCCGTGCGCGTGTCGAGCTCTCAGACCTCACACCCGTCACAGGCGGCGCCGACAAACTACTTCGCTCAAAACCTACCAGCTCAATATATCTTTTGCAGATCGAACCTGCCTCCAGTTCCATTCCCGGTTGGATAGTTACCAGGAAATACCCCGATTTTGAGGCATTGCACGAGGTTCTGTCGCGGATATCCAAAATCTCTGGCGTTGTCGGATTCTCTGACCTGCCGGCTTGGAGGGGGCAGACAAAGGAATCGCTAAGGGCAGGTTTGGAAAAATACCTGAGCTCTGCGTTAAAGATACATGGTCTGGCCGAGTGCGAAGGGATGAAGAGGTTCTGGGAGAAGGACAACGCAACCACTGAGTCGGGGAATACCGGTCAAGGAGGATTTGCAAGGCTAGGGAAGGCCTGGCCAAACCCTCAGGCACTCGCAAAGGTCGGCGGAGGAATGTTGGATGCATTGACTAAAGCACCGCAGGGGGCTGCAGAAGGCGGAAAAGCCCTCTTTGGCGGGGTATTTCGGAATGGTGTTGGTATTAAGCGAGCATCCACATCAAGTGTCACCCTACAACTACCCTCAGAGTACGGGAACAACTCTCCACAAAATGGGACAACGTCTAGAACCTCGGTGGAAAGCCTAAGTTTCACCCAACCCACCACCCACGAACGCTCAGGATCTACTACAACGCTCAACGGATCACCAGAAGCGGACTTCGTAACTTTAGCATTCGAAACACAAAACCCAACGCTCCCACCGCACCCGTCTTCTATCGTTGAAGAACCTGCAGAGGATAGGCCAGAATTACCACCTCGGAGAACGAGTGCTAGACAAAGCATGACAGAAATGCCTGGCGTCGATGGCCGGGAGATGCTCAACCTCCCGCCACCACCGAGTGATATGCCAGACGACTATGATCATGACTCCGACTCTGGCATCACACTCTCTAGCCTACGCGCGAATTCCACTTCCTCCATGCTACAGCCAAACCCAAGCTTACTCTCAACCAGCAGCAGTGCATCAAACCTGCAAACAATAGCCCACCCCCAAACCATCACCGCTACATCCTTACCACCGGAAACGGCAACAACCCCACCCCCCGAACCCTCTCCAGGGAAAAAACCCACATCCCCACTCTCCCCCACTGAGGCCCAGTTCGTCGTAGAAATCATCTTCGCCATAATCTCAGAACTGTACACCCTCTCATCAGCCTGGATTTTCCGCCGCTCGCTCTTAAACGTGGCAAAGTCAATCCTCCTCCGGCCCGGCAACGCATCTCTAGAATCCATCCGCGTGCTGATCCAGGAAACCGTCATAGAGGCGAATACCAAAGACGAAGCGGTAGCATCCTATATACGCAAGATCCGGGAAAGCGCGTTCATGACGAAGGAAGAATTTGAGGGCTGGCAGGCGTCCGTCAAAGTGGCGGAGCGGGGGGAAGAGGGGGAGGAGAGTAAGAGGGAGAAGGCACGCATGTTGGTGCGCGAACGAGGATTGCCGGAAGCGCTGAGGGGGGTTATGGGTGGGGGTGCGAGCGCGGAGTGTTGTGCTTTCATGTTTGATGCACTACAGGAGGAGGGGGTCGCGAGGGGTGTCGTGGCTGGGTTGGTTTGTGAGGCTATTAGGGGGGTTTGTCAATAATTGGTGGAGGGGGAGTACATAGTAACGCACTGTTATGAATTGTTTTTTCCCTTGAGGTCGTTGTTAATGGTTTGGTTTGTGAAGAGATTTCTACCCTTGGTCTTACGCTTTTATCTCATGCTTTTGCAGGGGATATGTGCTCGGTAGCCGAAGAATCTAGTCCCACAAGAAGTGAATAAATGAATTCATGAATAAACAATAAAACCCGGTTAGACAATCACACTGTATTCACCCTCCAAGCGAACCCAAGTACGGCGTTTCAGTATCGTAGTGCATCCAGGAGCCCTAGCCCGGAAGGGTACACCTGGGATGGAAGGAAATTCTCCAGTGAACGAAAACAGCGGAAATGGGCCAAGATCCGGGATCGAAAGGGCTGACAAGTATAGTGGAATTCAGTAAATCGGGTCCCCCCATCACGCGTCCGGCGCTACGGGGGAATAGCCAAATGGGGCGGGCGAGTAGTTTGGCCCACCGAAAGAGCTGGTGGGCTCAACACTCGACGAAAGAAAAATACGATACTTGTAAAACAAGTTTCCAGTAGTGCGGTCATGAATAATCACTCGCGCCTAAGCCTCGGGAGGATGGCTGACTTATTGTCTGACACGGGAGTGGGTCTCCTCCTGTTCGAGTTTTGTATTCCCTGCGGGGGAAGTACCGGCTTGGGATGAATGTATGTGCCTGGGCTTTGTTTTCTTTTGTCACTCTGTTTTCGGATGTTGTCATCTTGGGTTGAAGCGGAGCTAATTGCTTGTTCTGCTCAGGTTTTTTTTATTTCCGGGGACTCTGCTGCTGTGGGAACATTTGGTCAGGTTTTGGCTGCGTGAGAGTTGATTTCGGGCGCCAGTTGGTGTGATATGAATGGAATTTGGGGGGGTGGGGAAGCGGTGATGGGTGGATGGATGGGCGGTAGTCAAGGTGGGGTTGAGAGTACCTTACAGTACGCTATTCCCTGGTGGGGTACTGTACACGCGGTTAGGTAAGTTTTTCCCGGCACAAGCTTTGCCAGCGGAAAAAATTAACCACCACTAGGAAATTGCTGTGCTACTGGGCGGCGCCTATGCTCACTGAATTGGCGGAAGGTGAGATCGGGAGATACTGATATGAGCTATGACTGATGTGGACATACACATATATGAAGTAGTAGTGGCAGGCTCCTTACTGATTGTATAAATCTAACATGCTAGCAGTTCCGGATCTCATTTTCAACCTCATCCACGACTCGACGTGGGTTTTCATATGAAACTACCCTGAACAGCTTAAAGTAACTTGTGCTAGAATGAGGAGAAAGAGGGATAATATATAGGTGTTGAAGGAATGACTTAGAATAAAGGGCTTGTGGGAAGTTATTTAGGGTGAGCCGGGCGGACAGCTGTGCTGATGGGAAGGGGACGTGAGAGTTGCTGTAATCGTGAAACAAAGTGTCGACAATAATCAAAGTAGATTGATCGTTTGTTTTGTTGACCTATGATCAACTCGTCAGGACGGGGGGAGAAGGGCGATACTTATACCTTTCCCCGAAGATGATGGTTGATGAAAGTCCATCCGGTGTGGAAGACGAGGGCGTGGGTTTGACCCTGAGTGCTCGTCGCGAGAAACGCAGTAAAGTCGTTAAATCGGGTGAGCCGAGCAAGCGAAGCGAGCGAGGCGATTCTCTAGCCGGGCGGACAGCTGTGCTGATGGGAAGGGGACGTGAGAGTTGTGGTGTCGTGGGAAACAAAGTGTCGACAATAATCAAAAGAGATTGATCGTTTGTTTTGTTGACCTATGATCAACTCGTCAGGACGGGGGGAGAAGGGCGATACTTATACCTTTCCCCGTAGGTGATGGTGGATGAAAGTCCATCGGTTGTGGAAGGCGAGGGCATGGGTTTGACCCTGAGCGCTCGTCGCGAGATACGCAATTAAGTCGTAAAATCGCTGGTGGTGTGATGCGAAAATTTGCGTGTGAGCCGAGCGAGCGAAGCGAGCGAGGCGATTCTCTAGCCGGGCGGACAGCTGGGCTGATGGGAAGGGGACGTGAGAGTTGTGGAATCGTGAGAAACAAAGTGTCGACAATAATCAAAAGAGATTGATCGTTTGTTTTGTTGACCTATGATCAACTCGTCAGGACGGGGGGAGAAGGGTGATACTTATACCTTTCCCCGGAGATGATGGTGGATGAAAGTCCATCGGGTGTGGAAGACGGGGGCGTGGGTTTGACCCTGAGCGCCCGTCGCGAGAGACGCAATAAAGTCGTCAAATCGCTAGTGGTGTGATGCGAAAAATTGCGTCGCCGCTCGTGGGAGGGTGTGAGGCAATTTAGATGTGCGTCGGCGACCTCGTATTCCAAGCGAGGTGTGGCACACCGATTTATCGGTGTGCGTGCCGTCATGCATGCATCCTGCAAGTAAGCCGGAACCGGAAGGCTTGCCAGAATAGGTAGTCATCGTTCCGCATATGCGCGTACTAGGATCATCCCTACTAGGGCAACGGGCATGCATGCCTGCATGCGCATATGCACGAGCTCATCCGTGCATAGCCGAGGTGTGTACCGGATTAGTCTAGACAACTTCCAAATCGGGACACTTACCTAAAACGGAAATATTTCCTATTACGGAAAATTTCCTAATTCGGAAAGTGGGTACGACCTTCCTATTACGGAAGTGGCGCGCCAAGAGATTTCAGCCCCATGTACCAGCCACCACGTGACGCCATCACGTGCCCATGAGCCACCGCCACACGCCACCGCCACGCCGCCACAACGCCACAGCTCAGCCACTCACGTGACTGCGCCACAACGCCACAGCGCCACACCGCCTAGCCACACTAGCCGGTTAGGGTTAGGGGTTAGGGTTAGGGTTAGGGTGAGCCGAGCGAGCGAAGCGAGCGAGGCGATTCTCTAGCCGGGCGGACAGCTGGGCTGATGGGAAGAGGACGTGAGAGTTGGTGTAATCGTGAAACAAAGTGTCGACAATAATCAAAAGAGATTGATCGTTTGTTTTGTTGACCTATGATCAACTCGTCAGGACGGGGGGAGAAGGGTGATACTTATACCTTTCCCCGTAGATGATGGTGGATGAAAGTCCATCGGGTGTGGAAGACGGGGGCGTGGGTTTGACCCTGAGCGCCCGTCGCGAGAAACGCAGTAAAGTCGTTAAATCGCTAGTGGTGTGATGCGAAAATTTGCGCTCGCCGCTCGTGGGAGGGTGTGAGGCAAATAGTTGTGCGTCGGCGACCTCGTATTCCAAGCGAGGTGTGGCACACCGATTTATCGGTGTGCGTGCCGTCATGCATGCATCCTGCAAGTAAGCCGGAACCGGAAGGCTTGCCCAACTAGGTAATCATCTTTCCGCATATGCGCGTACTAAAATTATTCCTACTGGGGCAACGCGCATGCATGCCTGCATGCGCATATGCACGAGCTCATCCGTGCATAGCCGAGGTGTGTACCGGATTAGTCTAGACAACTTCCAAATCGGGACACTTACCTAAAACGGAAATATTTCCTATTACGGAAAATTTCCTATTTCGGAAAGTGGGTACGACCTTCCTATTACGGAAGTGGCGCGCCAAGAGATTTCAGCCCCATGTACCAGCCACCACGTGACGCCATCACGTGCCCATGAGCCACCGCCACACGCCACCGCCACACCGCCACAACGCCACAGCTCAGCCACTCACGTGACTGCGCCACAACGCCACAGCGCCACACCGCCTAGCCACACTAGCCGGTTAGGGTTAGGGGTTCGGGTGAGCCGAGCGAGCGAAGCGAGCGAGGCGATTCTCTAGCCGGGCGGACAGCTGTGCTGATGGGAAGGGGACGTGAGAGTTGGTGGTATCGTTGCAACAAAGTGTCGACAATAATCAAAAGAGATTGATCGTTTGAGCTCATCCGTGCATAGCCGAGGTGTGTACCGGATTAGTCTAGACAACTTCCAAATCGGGACACTTACCTAAAACGGAAATATTTCCTATTATGGAAAACTTCCTATTTTGGAAAGTGGGTACGACCTTCCTATTACGGAAGTGGCGCGCCAAGAGATTTCAGCCCCATGTACCAGCCACCACGTGACGCCATCACGTGCCCATGAGCCACCGCCACACGCCACCGCCACGCCGCCACGAACGCCACAGCTCAGCCACTCACGTGACTGCGCCACAACGCCACAGCGCCACACCGCCTAGCCACACTAGCCGGTTAGGGTTAGGGGTTAGGGTTAGGGTTAGGGTGAGCCGAGCGAGCGAAGCGAGCGAGGCGATTCTCTTGCCGGGCGGACAGCTGTGCTGATGGGAAGAGGACGTGAGAGTTGTTGTAATCGTGAAACAAAGTGTCGACAATAATCAAAAGAGATTGATCGTTTGTTTCGTTGACCTATGATCAACTCGTCAGGACGGGGGGAGAAGGGTGATACTTATACCTTTCCCCGTAGATGATGGTGGATGAAAGTCCATCGGGTGTGGAAGACGGGGGCGTGGGTTTGACCCTGAGCGCCCGTCGCGAGAAACGCAGTAAAGTCGTTAAATCGCTAGTGGTGTGATGCGAAAATTTGCGCTCGCCGCTCGTGGGAGGGTGTGAGGCAAATAGTTGTGCGTCGGCGACCTCGTATTCCAAGCGAGGTGTGGCACACCGATTTATCGGTGTGCGTGCCGTCATGCATGCATCCTGCAAGTAAGCCGGAACCGGAAGGCTTGCCAGAATAGGTAGTCATACGTTCCGACATATGCGCGTACTAGGATCATCCCTACTAGGACAACGCGCATGCATGCCTGCATGCGCATATGTACGAGCTCATCCGTGCATAGCCGAGGTGTGTACCGGATTAGTCTAGACAACTTCCAAATCGGGACACTTACCTAAAACGGAAATATTTCCTATTACGGAAAATTTCCTATTTCGGAAAGTGGGTACGACCTTCCTATTACGGAAGTGGCGCGCCAAGAGATTTCAGCCCCATGTACCAGCCACCACGTGATGCCATCACGTGCTCATGAGCCACCGCCACACGCCACCGCCACGCCGCC